GTAGCTGAGTCTGAGTCTGTCTGTCCTCCGTCCGTCGGGGGTGAGTGTGCTCTTGGCACTGACGTCCTTGAGGACAGGCAGGAGGAGTTCCAGTGCTTTGCTGCCGCTTTGCCCCATCTCGTGTCCATGCTTGTTGCCCCTGAGGGAGACCCGGATGCACCAGACATCCCGACCCCACGCTCTTACGCAGAGGCGATGGCCGGTCCCTACTCCTTTCAGTGGCAGTCAGCCATGGACACAGAGATGGCTTCCTGGAAGTCCACAGGCACCTACGTCGACGAGGTTCCCCCGCCTGGGGCGAACATCGTCAGTGGCATGTGGATTTTCAGGGTGAAGCGGCCGCCGGGTTCTCCGCCTGTCTTCAAGGCGCGTTACGTTGCACGAGGCTTCAGTCAGCGCGAGGGAGTTGACTTCTTCCAGACCTTCTCCCCGACCCCGAAGATGACCACTCTTCGGGTTCTGCTGCACGTCGCCGCTCAGCGTGACTACGAGCTCCACTCGCTTGACTTCAGCACTGCTTTCCTGCAGGGCAGCCTGCACGAGGAGATCTGGCTGCGCCGTCCACCTGGCTTCACTGGGTCGTTCCCTCCTGGTACCCAGTGGAGCCTCCGACGGCCAGTCTACGGTCTCCGCCAGGCGCCTCGTGAGTGGCACGACACACTGAGGACTACGCTTGCGGCTCTTGGGTTCGCGCCTTCTACTGCTGACCCGTCGCTGTTTCTACGCACCGACACCTCACTGCCGCCGTTCTACGTCCTTGTGTACGTCGACGACTTGGTCTTTGCTACTGCTGACACTGTGGCACTCGCCCACGTGAAGTCGGAGCTGCAGAAGAGACACACGTGCACAGACCTGGGTGAACTGACAAGCTATCTTGGCTTGCGGATCACCCGGGACAGAGCACGCCGCACCATCACCTTGACTCAGTCACACATGGTGCAGCAGGTCCTTCAGCGCTTCCGCTTCACGTACTCCTCGCCTCAGCCCACTCCTCTGCCTACCGGTCACTCGCTCTCAGCTCTGCCTTCGGATGAGTCCGTAGAGCCGAGTGGCCCGTATCCAGAGCTTGTGGGTTGCCTCATGTACCTGATGACCTGCACTCGACCAGACCTTGCATACCCTCTCAGCATTCTTGCACGCTATGTCGCTCCCGGCCGTCACCGGAAGAAGCACATGGATGCAGCTAAGAGGGTGTTGCGCTACTTGTGCAGTACGTCGGGCATGGGGCTAGTGCTTGGAGGGCGAGTCCCAGTTGTTCTCACTGGGCACTCAGACGCTTCTTGGGCAGACGACCAGGCTACTCAGCGGTCGTCTCAGGGTTACTCCTTCAGTCTTGGCTCTGGTTCTGTTTCTTGGCGTTCTACTCGCTCTTCTTCTGTTCTCAGCTCCAGTTGTGAGGCTGAGATCTACGCCACAGCCATGGCGGCCCAGGAGCTACGCTGGCTCACCTACTTGCTGACCGACCTTGGAGAGCAGCCTCGTTCTCCTCCAGTGCTGTACGTCGACAACAAGGCAGCCATTGCCTTGTGTGAGGAGCACAGACTGGAGCACAGAACGAAGCACATTGCTCTGCGTTACTTCCTCGCTCGAGAGCTGCAGCAGCGTGGTCAGCTTCGCCTGCGTTACGTGGCCTCTGAGGCCAACACTGCTGATGTGTTCACCAAGGCGCTTCAGCCTTGTGACCATCAGCGCTTTTGCACTCTTCTAGGCCTTGTGCCTACTGGACCTCACTTGCTTACTTCTTGAGTCTGTTGTACTGTGATCTCTATATATAAACCTGCATGTGAACTGGTCTTGTGACCACTTGCTTGTGCTCGGAATTTGTGTGGTATCCTTGAGATCCACCCTGAGCTTGTTTTGCCTTGCTTTGCCTTGACTGGTCTTGTGACCCCTAGGTCTCCCCCACTTTGCCTATGGGGGTGTGTCAAACATTATATATGTTGTGTTAGTTTAGGCTACAGTGGGTTAGCCTAAAGGGGGTACACAATTCTAGGGTTAGGTACTTGTACTCTTTTCATTGCTAGTTCATTCATTCCTGTTCAGTGATTCCAACACATCCGATGGCACTGCGTCCTTCCACTGCGCCACAGCGTGTCCCTTTGCCGTCTCCTCCGGAGTCCTCTCTTCCTGCTCTTGCTGACCCGGCGTCTGACTCCCTTCGTGCTGCCAGTCCTACTGTCACGCGTTTCCTAGCCACTGTTGTCATTGCCCCTTCCTTTGAGTCCACTGCTGCGTCTGCCTTAGTTACCGAGCTTGTCGACTTCACTGCTCACTGTCGTCTAGACTACGCTGCTAGTCTTGTTGCTGAGTCTGCGTCTGTCTGTCCTCCGTCCGTCGGGGGTGAGTGTGCTCTTAGCACGGACGTCCTCGAGGACCGGCAGGAGGAGTTCCAGTGTTTTGCTGCTGCTTTACCTCATCTCGTGTCCACGCTGCTTGCCCCTGAGGGAGACCCGGATGCACCAGACATCCCGACCCCGCGCTCTTACGCAGAGGCGATAGAGGGTCCTTACTCCTCTCAGTGGCAGGCAGCCATGGACGCAGAGATGGCTTCCTGGAAGTCCACAGGCACCTACGTTGACGAGGTTCCCCCTCCTGGGGCAAACATTGTCAGTGGCATGTGGATTTTCAGGATGAAGCGGCTAGTTCATTCATTCATGTTTCATTCTTCACATAAATCACCCTGATACACTGATAATCAGGGTGGTTTTTTGTAGTCACACAGATGCCTTAGGGTAATTTTTTATGGAGCTTAGATTTTCCTTATATTTCAGGCTTTACGTTTAAGGCACAGTGTCGCCCCTGGGTTACCGTTCTTCTTAGCGAGTTTTACCCTGAAGCGAATACCACACCCCCCACCAAACCCCCCCCCCCCCCCCCCCCCCCCTTCAACCCGCCCCCGCACTTCTGTCCCGCTAATTAAGAATGTAGAATACAAAATTATGTTATTCTAATATTCATGTTCAAGTGGCCTGGTCAGTAGATTGGTCTTCGGAAGGATGAAGACCCGGGTTCACATTCTGGAGCCGACGTTTTTGTTCAGAATTTCAGTAGAAACACTTCATCAGGGTTCTGAAAGTTGTTACACTGTGGCCTTAGGGTTTTTCTTTTTTGAAACTATGGAAAACCTTGATGGAAAATAATTTTCCCAAGGGGTCACACTGATACTCAGGGTTTTGCAAAGGTGCAGGACTGATAATAAGGGTTGCTTAAAACAAAAAATTAGCCCTGCTCTCGATACCATATTGAAAAGAGAATGTGTGTACTAAGTAACAAAGTGATACATAGGTATCTAACATATAAAGTGTTGTATCAGATGTAATTTAACTCACACTCTAGCCAAAGACACCTAACTCATTTACAATATAGTTGTACATGAATATATAAACTCGAATGCTTAGTGGAAGATTTATAACAATGAATTGCTTTATTAAATAAAATGCAATACAATACATTACAATACAATATAATACAATACCGAATAAAATGGGTTTGTATTATCTATGCAACGATACCATATTTTCTCGGACGTAGCACCCTAGGGTATAGCTAAAAATACAGGGAAAAAATGGGGGGGGTCTCCTCATAGGAAAAAAATACATAATACCCGGGTCTTTACATATGGTATATTTTGGTGTTAGTGTTTATTTTCATTTTAACATCACTGTCTGAGGCGCGAATATGGGTTTCGGCCACGAGCTTCATCACCCCCACGAAAATGCCATGTGGCACCTCTCTTGCCACTTGCAGCGGAAGATTCGCCTGCACATGGTCACAGCGAAGTAGTGCGAGGGGGGAAATCTCGGTAGATTGTAAGTGAATGTACCGCGAAATTTCATCTAGGGAGAAATTTTCGCGATATTCTTCAATATTGCAGCTACTCGTTAACGACTATTATAACGAATTCGTAAGAAAAGGGGGGTGTTATAGAAAATCAGCAAAAAAGGGGGGTATAGTAGAAACGAGGTCTATCATAACACCCACCCCGCACAAGCTACCCGGGGGTGTACAATTACGGGGGCGTGTTTTGTCCGGGAGAATACGGTACATGTTCGCTTATCTACCCTTTCACTAATGTAAACGGATTGTACTCCCATGCAACAGAAAACTCTCCCTGCTTACGTCATCTCTTCTAGTGAAGCTGTAGCTCACTAAAGCGTGATTTGCTTCTATAACTGACCACTGTAGTAACTTCCTGAAATGAAATACCTAACTTCTCTCAATGGCTAAGACACTCACGGTGGTTGTTGAGTGATAATTTCAGGAATTATTCCGTGTAACACTTGGCCATGTATCCGTGCAATATCTTCCTCAGTACTACCAGCAGCAGGCAGACCACCCTCATGAGCAGTGCCATCAGCAGCTAACTCCCCACCAAGGAAACCATCATCCTCCAAAGGCAACAAATGAATACTAACAGCCTCCCCTTTCACCCCTTCCTCTCTTTCCAAAACTTCTCCCGGTGCTGCTACTTCATCTTTTAGTGAAGCATCTCGCAACGAGGCATCTCTGGCAAGTGCAGAGCGCAGAGAGGTCTCTGTGGATGGGCCAGTGTGGGAGATCATGCAAGAGAAGGAGCCCACTCTGTCTGCTGCCAGCTGCTGTGGCAACCCAAACTGCACCACCCGGCCCTGCTCCAGCACCAGCACCTGGAGAGGCCAGAGGAAGACAAAGTCAGAGAAGGGCAACATCACGTGCAAACGCATGTCTGGACATGCTTATTTACCGTGTGTTGTCATTTGTGGGGCATGCCAACGACCGTGCTAGCAGAAGCGAGCTCTTACCCCGCCCACGAACCCCTCCCACCCCCTCCCCAGCTTCCCCCCTCTTCGCCCCAACCTCTCCTCTCTCTGGAAATAATATTCTGTCTGATCCAACCAGGCAGATCCTCACACCGTCTGAGCAGATGATGGTGTGCAGGCGGTGGGCGATCGTGATGACGGTGCTGGTGGTGAAGTGGCACCAGCCAGAGCTGCCAACCAGATTCTACTTGCACCTTCTCCTCATGCAAGACAGAGAGAAACCCCCACCTTGTGCGCATCGATGATGGAGTGCAGGCGGTGGGCGATGGTGATGACGGTGCTGGTGGTGAAGTGGCGGCGGATTGTGCTCTGGATGAGCGTGTCTGTCGCCCTGTCCATGTTCGCCGTCGCCTCGTCCATGAGCAGAATGCGACTGTGCTGCAGGACAGCACTGAGGGAGGGAAGAGAAGGGGAGTGGGAATAGGGAGGAGAGGAGGGATGGGGTGGGGAAGTTTTGAGGAGACCCATCACGTTTGCTGTCGCTTTGTCCATGAGCAGAATGCGACTGCGCTGCGGCACAGCACTGACGGAGGGGAAGGGAGGGGGAGGGGGGGGTGGGTGGGAGGGGGGGTAGAGGGAGGAAGAAAGGGAAAAGTAAGGCGGTTAAGAGGTCACATCACATTGGCTGCTATGCCGGGCAGAGTGCACGGGTCAAGTCAGAACACAGAGATTGGGGTTTCTGGGTTACAGTGGGAGGGGTGAGCGTAAGAACTTAAGCTGAGATGATTGATTAGGTAATGGGGCTCAATGCCATTAAGCACATCACGAATAAGTTGGAAAATATAGGAGAGTCACAATAGTCGACTGATTAGGTAATCTGGAACAAACCTCAGCGAGATCAGCTGAGACCCAAAAATGGTGTGGTGGGTTGAAGGTTCTGAGTAACACCCAACCTAAAAATGGTGGGTTGAAAATTCTGAGTAACACCCAACCTAAAAATGGTGGGTTGAAAATTCTGAGTAACACCCAACCTAAAAATGGTTGTACAAGTACAACTGTGACAGTGTACTCTAGGGGAGGGGGGACGAGAGGCTTGAGGGGGATCTGTTAGTGTTAGCCTTCAATCTCACACTTTGTGCTTTGTATTTTCTATATCCTAGAGTAGTATAGTTTGCACATTGTGTTTGGTTGGGTGTACACCTACATCCCAACCAAACCCAAATGTAATCTCCAAGCAATCTCCAACCCACCAATTGGAGATTGCCTTGGGATTACCCCCAACCCTAGGGATTGCCTCTGATTCCCTTCCCCAACTATTCCTTACCCTTCTTGGATGTACTTAAAGAGCTTCTAGCTCATTACTAATGTATCGCTTCTAAGCCTAAGTTCTCACATGGTATCAGAGCTCTACATCCGCACATGCGGATCGTGATCCTCCTATCTATGCGGATGTTCTTCCCGCAAACCTCGTCATAGCCTCCTTCAATCTCGTCGCCGCCGATTCGCGACATTCGTGGGCGGAAATTCCCCCGCACCACTTTCCCGTCAACTTCGACGACGTCTTCAATTTCTACGGTACGCTCATCGACGTCGCTCTAACTTATAGTTCCTTTTGCGTCATCTCTCAATTTCGTCACCGCGTCACCTCTTCTCGTCCGGCCGCCGCCCGTCGCCCCGCAGCTTCCCGTCGGGCCGCCGCCCGTCGCCCCGCAGCTTCTCGTCGGGCCGCCGCCCGTTGCCCTGCAACTTCTCGTCGGGCCGCCGCCCGTCGCCCCGCAACTTCTCGTCGGGCCGCCGCCCGTCGCCCTGCAACTTCTCGTCGGGCCGCCACCTGTCGCCCCGCAGCTTTTCGTCGGGCCGCCGCCCGTCGCCCCGCATCTGCACTTCTACCCCCATTCCCCTTTTCCCGCAGCTAAACAGGTGCAGCAACGCAGCCGAGCAGCAGTGCAGCAGCGCATCCGAGCAGCAGAGTAGCCGCGAAGCCGTGCAGCAGCGTAGCCGCGAAGCTGAGGGTGGTGTGTGGAGGGGTGTGTGGGAGTAGGGTTAGATCTATGGAAGTCGGCCGATTTTACCTAGTTTTGGCGGCCTAGAAAAACTTTCTACAAGGCATCCCGACGCGGTCGACATTGACGATTTTCGCTATTTGGGGTCCGTCGGATTTCGAAGTTCCTATCGGTGACTTAAGAGCGGCGCTTCGCGCGAGACACCAAGGGATCTCCAGCATGGCCTTCACCACGTCCACCATGGCCAACCCCATCACCCCACTCCGTCTTGAAGCCGATGGCTCTAGCTCCAACTTCAAGGCATGGAGCTATGGGGTTGACAAGCACCTGCTGAGCCGTGACATGCAAGGATTGGACCTCAAGGATGTCCTCCTCAACCATGGCAAGGGAAAACAGCCCCTTCTCCCTCGTGAGCCGACCGAATCCGCTACTGAGGCTGACACAAGGGCATATGAGGAAGTTGTTGAGAAGTACCGGAAGTGGGAGAAGGCCGATGCTGCTATTATCAGCGTCTTCATCGCCTCCACCCCTCCAGAACTTGTCAACACGTTCCATAACTACCCTACCTCCAACGCCATCTGGAAGTATCTCCAGGATCGGTTCATGAACAAGACTGCAGTCGGAGTTGCCATCCTCATCCCCAGCATGTTCCAGGTCCGCCTTGAGGATTGCTCGGGAATGGCCGACTACATTGCCAAGTTTCAGACCATTCATGGCGAACTCAAGGAGCTGGGTATAGTCTTCCCCGAACAGGCCCCTGCAGCAGCTCTTCTTGTTGGCCTCACCCTAAGTTGCCAAAAACGCGCAGACCTATTTGCGTTTAGCGGATATCCGCTTGCGTATACACGCAACACGCTCGACAAATTTGTTTTGGGGCAGCCCGGGCGGAAAAAAATTCGAATATACGGAAAGATGCGGAATTTCACGGCGTGCATTTTGCCGAAGGCGAATTGCACGTACGTGACTCGTCCAATCGTGGACGTGGGTTCAACCCACATAGTCGCGATTGGTGGTGTCAATTTTACAAGTCGCATTTTCACGTTCACACATTGTGCGCTCTGTTTGTTACCGCATTCAATCCCCACCCATCTACTCTCTCCAACCACTTGTCTCAATGTTCCCTTCTCTCGTTGTGCTATTTAGTTGGTTGCACGCAACTGCGCAATTCATCAGTTTCCCGTCTCGTTCATTATGTCTAGCCCGCCATGCACACCGCCATCCGTTCAGACAGTGCAGAGTTCCCGGAGTGTTCAACCTGAGGGTAGGGAGTACCTTCCCGTCATGGACCACGCTGTCTTCAAACATTTCAGCATCATTAAGCAGATTGAAGGCAAAGCACAGCAGTACGAGTGTAAGTACTGCTTCAATGTTTACACCGGTGCAGTCATTCGTTGCGCGCAGCACCTGAGCTCGTGGAAGGGAATGAAGCGTCGCGAGGTGATGCTTTGCAAGGAGGCACCGCAAGACGTACGCAAGGAGATGCGCACCAAATACGAAAACCTGGCTGCCGCGAACGAGGAAAAGCGCCGAGCAACATCTGCTGCGGTTGCGGCGGTCCAGGCTGGCGGTGGGAAGCGGCGCATAACCGACTACTTGGAGGGAGATGCTGCTGTGGCTAAGCGGGATGCTGACGAGGGCCTTGCGCTGATGTTTGCGGCCTGCAGAATCCCGGAGATCACCATAAACCACCCGCTGTTCGTCAACGCCATGCTGCTCGTCAACCGCGCCGGCCCCGGCTACGTCCCCCCCAAGAGGAGCTTCATTGGCGGGGCTGGACTAGTCGCTGTCTGCAAAGGGATTGAGCAGGGGCTGATGGGGATTAAAACGAGCTGGAAGAAGACGGGGGTAACAATTGCGTCCGACATGATGACAGACAAATGTGGGAGGGCGCAAGCGAACGTCCTTCTGATTAACGACTCCGGCGCCGTCTTCAAGGAGGCAATCGACTGCGGTATGGAGCGTAAGACAGGGGGATACGTAGCGGGGATTCTGCAGCCGGTGGTGGAGGAGTTAGGACCAGAAAATGTGGTCGCGTTTTGTATGGATGGGGGATCGAACTATGTCGTGGCTGTCCAGGAGCTGATTGCCAAGTGGCCCCACATTCAGCAGGTCCCTTGTGCCACGCATGTGATGGATCTCCTCTAGGAGGACGTGGGAAAGATGGGGTGGGCAAAAGGGGTGGTGGATCGGACAGGGGAGATGATTTCGTTCGTGCGCAACCATCATTGGACGCGCGCTTACCTGAGGACCCCGGAGTTGGTGGAGGGGAAGGTGCTGCAGCCGCTGAAGCTGGCGGGAACACGGTTCGGGACACAATACATTGCTGTGTCCCGCCTTTGTGAGTTGCGTAGCACCCTGAACGCGATGGTACTTACCGACAGGTGGAAGGAGTGGGCCGTGGGGTCGCGGAAGGAAGCTGCCGAGACCTTTGCTGCTCGGGTCCTCGATGCCGCATGGTGGCGGACAGCTTAATTCTTCTACAAGCTGATGAAACTGCCCTACAAGGCGATGCGGCAGACGGACGCAGATGCCAAGGGGATGATGGGCCGGCTTTACGATGTAATGCTGCAGCTTACGGAGGATGTCAACAACCTCTTGGACGAAGATGAGGAGCAGCTGAGTACCACGGACAAGGTGCAGATCCGTCGCATCATCAAGAACCGTTGGGATAACAACCTCGCCTGCGCCATGCACGTTGCTGGCCGAATCCTCAATCCCGCCAACCAGGAGGAGGACATCTTCGGCAGCGACGCCGAATGCACCCGGGTTTTCAAGGCATTTATCAACCAGCACGTGGAGTTCCTCATCGGCCACGACGGGAAGGGGAGGGAGGAGGATGTTGATTACTTGCTTGCCTTGGGTGACGGGCTGAGGGCTTTCTTGGACCTGAAAGGAAGTTTCGGGATGCCGGAGGCGCTTGCACAAAGGGCGGAGGTGAAGGCGGGTAAATACTGTTAGTGTTAGCCTTCAATCTCACACTTTGTGCTTTGTATTTTCTATATCCTAGAGTAGTGTAGTTTGCACATTGTGTTTGGTTGGGTGTACACCTACATCCCAACCAAACCCAAATGTAATCTCCAAGCAATCTCCAACCCACCAATTGGAGATTGCCTTGGGATTACCCCCAACCCTAGGGATTGCCTCTGATTCCCTTCCCCAACTATTCCTTACCCTTCTTGGATGTACTTAAAGAGCTTCTAGCTCATTACTAATGTATCGCTTCTAAGCCTAAGTTCTCACATGGTATCAGAGCTCTACATCCGCACATGCGGATCGTGATCCTCCTATCTATGCGGATGTTCTTCCCGCAAACCTCGTCATAGCCTCCTTCAATCTCGTCGCCGCCGATTCGCGACATTCGTGGGCGGAAATTCCCCCGCACCACTTTCCCGTCAACTTCGACGACGTCTTCAATTTCTACGGTACGCTCATCGACGTCGCTCTAACTTATAGTTCCTTTTGCGTCATCTCTCAATTTCGTCACCCGCGTCACCTCTTCTCGTCCGGCCGCCGCCCGTCGCCCCGCAGCTTCCCGTCGGGCCGCCGCCCGTCGCCCCGCAGCTTCTCGTCGGGCCGCCGCCCGTTGCCCTGCAACTTCTCGTCGGGCCGCCGCCCGTCGCCCCGCAACTTCTCGTCGGGCCGCCGCCCGTCGCCCTGCAACTTCTCGTCGGGCCGCCACCTGTCGCCCCGCAGCTTTTCGTCGGGCCGCCGCCCGTCGCCCCGCATCTGCACTTCTACCCCCATTCCCCTTTTCCCGCAGCTAAACAGGTGCAGCAACGCAGCCGAGCAGCAGTGCAGCAGCGCATCCGAGCAGCAGAGTAGCCGCGAAGCCGTGCAGCAGCGTAGCCGCGAAGCTGAGGGTGGTGTGTGGAGGGGTGTGTGGGAGTAGGGTTAGATCTATGGAAGTCGGCCGATTTTACCTAGTTTTGGCGGCCTAGAAAAACTTTCTACAAGGCATCCCGACGCGGTCGACATTGACGATTTTCGCTATTTGGGGTCCGTCGGATTTCGAAGTTCCTATCGGTGACTTAAGAGCGGCGCTTCGCGCGAGACACCAAGGGATCTCCAGCATGGCCTTCACCACGTCCACCATGGCCAACCCCATCACCCCACTCCGTCTTGAAGCCGATGGCTCTAGCTCCAACTTCAAGGCATGGAGCTATGGGGTTGACAAGCACCTGCTGAGCCGTGACATGCAAGGATTGGACCTCAAGGATGTCCTCCTCAACCATGGCAAGGGAAAACAGCCCCTTCTCCCTCGTGAGCCGACCGAATCCGCTACTGAGGCTGACACAAGGGCATATGAGGAAGTTGTTGAGAAGTACCGGAAGTGGGAGAAGGCCGATGCTGCTATTATCAGCGTCTTCATCGCCTCCACCCCTCCAGAACTTGTCAACACGTTCCATAACTACCCTACCTCCAACGCCATCTGGAAGTATCTCCAGGATCGGTTCATGAACAAGACTGCAGTCGGAGTTGCCATCCTCATCCCCAGCATGTTCCAGGTCCGCCTTGAGGATTGCTCGGGAATGGCCGACTACATTGCCAAGTTTCAGACCATTCATGGCGAACTCAAGGAGCTGGGTATAGTCTTCCCCGAACAGGCCCCTGCAGCAGCTCTTCTTGTTGGCCTCACCCTAAGTTGCCAAAAACGCGCAGACCTATTTGCGTTTAGCGGATATCCGCTTGCGTATACACGCAACACGCTCGACAAATTTGTTTTGGGGCAGCCCGGGCGGAAAAAAATTCGAATATACGGAAAGATGCGGAATTTCACGGCGTGCATTTTGCCGAAGGCGAATTGCACGTACGTGACTCGTCCAATCGTGGACGTGGGTTCAACCCACATAGTCGCGATTGGTGGTGTCAATTTTACAAGTCGCATTTTCACGTTCACACATTGTGCGCTCTGTTTGTTACCGCATTCAATCCCCACCCATCTACTCTCTCCAACCACTTGTCTCAATGTTCCCTTCTCTCGTTGTGCTATTTAGTTGGTTGCACGCAACTACGCAATTCATCAGTTTCCCGTCTCGTTCATTATGTCTAGCCCGCCATGCACACCGCCATCCGTTCAGACAGTGCAGAGTTCCCGGAGTGTTCAACCTGAGGGTAGGGAGTACCTTCCCGTCATGGACCACGCTGTCTTCAAACATTTCAGCATCATTAAGCAGATTGAAGGCAAAGCACAGCAGTACGAGTGTAAGTACTGCTTCAATGTTTACACCGGTGCAGTCATTCGTTGCGCGCAGCACCTGAGCTCGTGGAAGGGAATGAAGCGTCGCGAGGTGATGCTTTGCAAGGAGGCACCGCAAGACGTACGCAAGGAGATGCGCACCAAATACGAAAACCTGGCTGCCGCGAACGAGGAAAAGCGCCGAGCAACATCTGCTGCGGTTGCGGCGGTCCAGGCTGGCGGTGGGAAGCGGCGCATAACCGACTACTTGGAGGGAGATGCTGCTGTGGCTAAGCGGGATGCTGACGAGGGCCTTGCGCTGATGTTTGCGGCCTGCAGAATCCCGGAGATCACCATAAACCACCCGCTGTTCGTCAACGCCATGCTGCTCGTCAACCGCGCCGGCCCCGGCTACGTCCCCCCCAAGAGGAGCTTCATTGGCGGGGCTGGACTAGTCGCTGTCCGCAAAGGGATTGAGCAGGGGCTGATGGGGATTAAAACGAGCTGGAAGAAGACGGGGGTAACAATTGCGTCCGACATGATGACAGACAAATGTGGGAGGGCGCAAGCGAACGTCCTTCTGATTAACGACTCCGGCGCCGTCTTCAAGGAGGCAATCGACTGCGGTATGGAGCGTAAGACAGGGGGATACGTAGCGGGGATTCTGCAGCCGGTGGTGGAGGAGTTAGGACCAGAAAATGTGGTCGCGTTTTGTATGGATGGGGGATCGAACTATGCCGTGGCTGTCCAGGAGCTGATTGCCAAGTGGCCCCACATTCAGCAGGTCCCTTGTGCCACGCATGTGATGGATCTCCTCTAGGAGGACGTGGGAAAGATGGGGTGGGCAAAAGGGGTGGTGGATCGGACAGGGGAGATGATTTCGTTCGTGCGCAACCATCATTGGACGCGCGCTTACCTGAGGACCCCGGAGTTGGTGGAGGGGAAGGTGCTGCAGCCGCTGAAGCCGGCGGGAACACGGTTCGGGACACAATACATTGCTGTGTCCCGCCTTTGTGAGTTGCGTAGCACCCTGAACGCGATGGTACTTACCGACAGGTGGAAGGAGTGGGCCGTGGGGTCGCGGAAGGAAGCTGCCGAGACCTTTGCTGCTCGGGTCCTCGATGCCGCATGGTGGCGGACAGCTTAATTCTTCTACAAGCTGATGAAACTGCCCTACAAGGCGATGCGGCAGACGGACGCAGATGCCAAGGGGATGATGGGCCGGCTTTACGATGTAATGCTGCAGCTTACGGAGGATGTCAACAACCTCTTGGACGAAGATGAGGAGCAGCTGAGTACCACGGACAAGGTGCAGATCCGTCGCATCATCAAGAACCGTTGGGATAACAACCTCGCCTGCGCCATGCACGTTGCTGGCCGAATCCTCAATCCCGCCAACCAGGAGGAGGACATCTTCGGCAGCGACGCCGAATGCACCCGGGTTTTCAAGGCATTTATCAACCAGCACGTGGAGTTCCTCATCGGCCACGACGGGAAGGGGAGGGAGGAGGATGTTGATTACTTGCTTGCCTTGGGTGACGGGCTGAGGGCTTTCTTGGACCTGAAAGGAAGTTTCGGGATGCCGGAGGCGCTTGCACAAAGGGCGGAGGTGAAGGCGGGTAAATACTGTTAGTGTTAGCCTTCAATCTCACACTTTGTGCTTTGTATTTTCTATATCCTAGAGTAGTGTAGTTTGCACATTGTGTTTGGTTGGGTGTACACCTACATCCCAACCAAACCCAAATGTAATCTCCAAGCAATCTCCAACCCACCAATTGGAGATTGCCTTGGGATTACCCCCAACCCTAGGGATTGCCTCTGATTCCCTTCCCCAACTATTCCTTACCCTTCTTGGATGTACTTAAAGAGCTTCTAGCTCATTACTAATGTATCGCTTCTAAGCCTAAGTTCTCACATGGTATCAGAGCTCTACATCCGCACATGCGGATCGTGATCCTCCTATCTATGCGGATGTTCTTCCCGCAAACCTCGTCATAGCCTCCTTCAATCTCGTCGCCGCCGATTCGCGACATTCGTGGGCGGAAATTCCCCCGCACCACTTTCCCGTCAACTTCGACGACGTCTTCAATTTCTACGGTACGCTCATCGACGTCGCTCTAACTTATAGTTCCTTTTGCGTCATCTCTCAATTTCGTCACCGCGTCACCTCTTCTCGTCCGGCCGCCGCCCGTCGCCCCGCAGCTTCCCGTCGGGCCGCCGCCCGTCGCCCCGCAGCTTCTCGTCGGGCCGCCGCCCGTTGCCCTGCAACTTCTCGTCGGGCCGCCGCCCGTCGCCCCGCAACTTCTCGTCGGGCCGCCGCCCGTCGCCCTGCAACTTCTCGTCGGGCCGCCACCTGTCGCCCCGCAGCTTTTCGTCGGGCCGCCGCCCGTCGCCCCGCATCTGCACTTCTACCCCCATTCCCCTTTTCCCGCAGCTAAACAGGTGCAGCAACGCAGCCGAGCAGCAGTGCAGCAGCGCATCCGAGCAGCAGAGTAGCCGCGAAGCCGTGCAGCAGCGTAGCCGCGAAGCTGAGGGTGGTGTGTGGAGGGGTGTGTGGGAGTAGGGTTAGATCTATGGAAGTCGGCCGATTTTACCTAGTTTTGGCGGCCTAGAAAAACTTTCTACAAGGCATCCCGACGCGGTCGACATTGACGATTTTCGCTATTTGGGGTCCGTCGGATTTCGAAGTTCCTATCGGTGACTTAAGAGCGGCGCTTCGCGCGAGACACCAAGGGATCTCCAGCATGGCCTTCACCACGTCCACCATGGCCAACCCCATCACCCCACTCCGTCTTGAAGCCGATGGCTCTAGCTCCAACTTCAAGGCATGGAGCTATGGGGTTGACAAGCACCTGCTGAGCCGTGACATGCAAGGATTGGACCTCAAGGATGTCCTCCTCAACCATGGCAAGGGAAAACAGCCCCTTCTCCCTCGTGAGCCGACCGAATCCGCTACTGAGGCTGACACAAGGGCATATGAGGAAGTTGTTGAGAAGTACCGGAAGTGGGAGAAGGCCGATGCTGCTATTATCAGCGTCTTCATCGCCTCCACCCCTCCAGAACTTGTCAACACGTTCCATAACTACCCTACCTCCAACGCCATCTGGAAGTATCTCCAGGATCGGTTCATGAACAAGACTGCAGTCGGAGTTGCCATCCTCATCCCCAGCATGTTCCAGGTCCGCCTTGAGGATTGCTCGGGAATGGCCGACTACATTGCCAAGTTTCAGACCATTCATGGCGAACTCAAGGAGCTGGGTATAGTCTTCCCCGAACAGGCCCCTGCAGCAGCTCTTCTTGTTGGCCTCACCCTAAGTTGCCAAAAACGCGCAGACCTATTTGCGTTTAGCGGATATCCGCTTGCGTATACACGCAACACGCTCGACAAATTTGTTTTGGGGCAGCCCGGGCGGAAAAAAATTCGAATATACGGAAAGATGCGGAATTTCACGGCGTGCATTTTGCCGAAGGCGAATTGCACGTACGTGACTCGTCCAATCGTGGACGTGGGTTCAACCCACATAGTCGCGATTGGTGGTGTCAATTTTACAAGTCGCATTTTCACGTTCACACATTGTGCGCTCTGTTTGTTACCGCATTCAATCCCCACCCATCTACTCTCTCCAACCACTTGTCTCAATGTTCCCTTCTCTCGTTGTGCTATTTAGTTGGTTGCACGCAACTGCGCAATTCATCAGTTTCCCGTCTCGTTCATTATGTCTAGCCCGCCATGCACACCGCCATCCGTTCAGACAGTGCAGAGTTCCCGGAGTGTTCAACCTGAGGGTAGGGAGTACCTTCCCGTCATGGACCACGCTGTCTTCAAACATTTCAGCATCATTAAGCAGATTGAAGGCAAAGCACAGCAGTACGAGTGTAAGTACTGCTTCAATGTTTACACCGGTGCAGTCATTCGTTGCGCGCAGCACCTGAGCTCGTGGAAGGGAATGAAGCGTCGCGAGGTGATGCTTTGCAAGGAGGCACCGCAAGACGTACGCAAGGAGATGCGCACCAAATACGAAAACCTGGCTGCCGCGAACGAGGAAAAGCGCCGAGCAACATCTGCTGCGGTTGCGGCGGTCCAGGCTGGCGGTGGGAAGCGGCGCATAACCGACTACTTGGAGGGAGATGCTGCTGTGGCTAAGCGGGATGCTGACGAGGGCCTTGCGCTGATGTTTGCGGCCTGCAGAATCCCGGAGATCACCATAAACCACCCGCTGTTCGTCAACGCCATGCTGCTCGTCAACCGCGCCGGCCCCGGCTACGTCCCCCCCAAGAGGAGCTTCATTGGCGGGGCTGGACTAGTCGCTGTCTGCAAAGGGATTGAGCAGGGGCTGATGGGGATTAAAACGAGCTGGAAGAAGACGGGGGTAACAATTGCGTCCGACATGATGACAGACAAATGTGGGAGGGCGCAAGCGAACGTCCTTCTGATTAACGACTCCGGCGCCGTCTTCAAGGAGGCAATCGACTGCGGTATGGAGCGTAAGACAGGGGGATACGTAGCGGGGATTCTGCAGCCGGTGGTGGAGGAGTTAGGACCAGAAAATGTGGTCGCGTTTTGTATGGATGGGGGATCGAACTATGTCGTGGCTGTCCAGGAGCTGATTGCCAAGTGGCCCCACATTCAGCAGGTCCCTTGTGCCACGCATGTGATGGATCTCCTCTAGGAGGACGTGGGAAAGATGGGGTGGGCAAAAGGGGTGGTGGATCGGACAGGGGAGATGATTTCGTTCGTGCGCAACCATCATTGGACGCGCGCTTACCTGAGGACCCCGGAGTTGGTGGAGGGGAAGGTGCTGCAGCCGCTGAAGCTGGCGGGAACACGGTTCGGGACACAATACATTGCTGTGTCCCGCCTTTGTGAGTTGCGTAGCACCCTGAACGCGATGGTACTTACCGACAGGTGGAAGGAGTGGGCCGTGGGGTCGCGGAAGGAAGCTGCCGAGACCTTTGCTGCTCGGGTCCTCGATGCCGCATGGTGGCGGACAGCTTAATTCTTCTACAAGCTGATGAAACTGCCCTACAAGGCGATGCGGCAGACGGACGCAGATGCCAAGGGGATGATGGGCCGGCTTTACGATGTAATGCTGCAGCTTACGGAGGATGTCAACAACCTCTTGGACGAAGATGAGGAGCAGCTGAGTACCACGGACAAGGTGCAGATCCGTCGCATCATCAAGAACCGTTGGGATAACAACCTCGCCTGCGCCATGCACGTTGCTGGCCGAATCCTCAATCCCGCCAACCAGGAGGAGGACATCTTCGGCAGCGACGCCGAATGCACCCGGGTTTTCAAGGCATTTATCAACCAGCACGTGGAGTTCCTCATCGGCCACGACGGGAAGGGGAGGGAGGAGGATGTTGATTACTTGCTTGCCTTGGGTGACGGGCTGAGGGCTTTCTTGGACCTGAAAGGAAGTTTCGGGATGCCGGAGGCGCTTGCACAAAGGGCGGAGGTGAAGGCGGGTAAATACTGTTAGTGTTAGCCTTCAATCTCACACTTTGTGCTTTGTATTTTCTATATCCTAGAGTAGTGTAGTTTGCACATTGTGTTTGGTTGGGTGTACACCTACATCCCAACCAAACCCAAATGTAATCTCCAAGCAATCTCCAACCCACCAATTGGAGATTGCCTTGGGATTACCCCCAACCCTAGGGATTGCCTCTGATTCCCTTCCCCAACTATTCCTTACCCTTCTTGGATGTACTTAAAGAGCTTCTAGCTCATTACTAATGTATCGCTTCTAAGCCTAAGTTCTCACATGGTATCAGAGCTCTACATCCGCACATGCGGATCGTGATCCTCCTATCTATGCGGATGTTCTTCCCGCAAACCTCGTCATAGCCTCCTTCAATCTCGTCGCCGCCGATTCGCGACATTCGTGGGCGGAAATTCCCCCGCACCACTTTCCCGTCAACTTCGACGACGTCTTCAATTTCTACGGTACGCTCATCGACGTCGCTCTAACTTATAGTTCCTTTTGCGTCATCTCTCAATTTCGTCACCGCGTCACCTCTTCTCGTCCGGCCGCCGCCCGTCGCCCCGCAGCTTCCCGTCGGGCCGCCGCCCGTCGCCCCGCAGCTTCTCGTCGGGCCGCCGCCCGTTGCCCTGCAACTTCTCGTCGGGCCGCCGCCCGTCGCCCCGCAACTTCTCGTCGGGCCGCCGCCCGTCGCCCTGCAACTTCTCGTCGGGCCGCCACCTGTCGCCCCGCAGCTTTTCGTCGGGCCGCCGCCCGTCGCCCCGCATCTGCACTTCTACCCCCATTCCCCTTTTCCCGCAGCTAAACAGGTGCAGCAACGCAGCCGAGCAGCAGTGCAGCAGCGCATCCGAGCAGCAGAGTAGCCGCGAAGCCGTGCAGCAGCGTAGCCGCGAAGCTGAGGGTGGTGTGTGGAGGGGTGTGTGGGAGTAGGGTTAGATCTATGGAAGTCGGCCGATTTTACCTAGTTTTGGCGGCCTAGAAAAACTTTCTACAAGGCATCCCGACGCGGTCGACATTGACGATTTTCGCTATTTGGGGTCCGTCGGATTTCGAAGTTCCTATCGGTGACTTAAGAGCGGCGCTTCGCGCGAGACACCAAGGGATCTCCAGCATGGCCTTCACCACGTCCACCATGGCCAACCCCATCACCCCACTCCGTCTTGAAGCCGATGGCTCTAGCTCCAACTTCAAGGCATGGAGCTATGGGGTTGACAAGCACCTGCTGAGCCGTGACATGCAAGGATTGGACCTCAAGGATGTCCTCCTCAACCATGGCAAGGGAAAACAGCCCCTTCTCCCTCGTGAGCCGACCGAATCCGCTACTGAGGCTGACACAAGGGCATATGAGGAAGTTGTTGAGAAGTACCGGAAGTGGGAGAAGGCCGATGCTGCTATTATCAGCGTCTTCATCGCCTCCACCCCTCCAGAACTTGTCAACACGTTCCATAACTACCCTACCTCCAACGCCATCTGGAAGTATCTCCAGGATCGGTTCATGAACAAGACTGCAGTCGGAGTTGCCATCCTCATCCCCAGCATGTTCCAGGTCCGCCTTGAGGATTGCTCGGGAATGGCCGACTACATTGCCAAGGTTCAGACCATTCATGGCGAACTCAAGGAGCTGGGTATAGTCTTCCCCGAACAGGCCCCTGCAGCAGCTCTTCTTGTTGGCCTCACCACAGCCTACGAAATCACAAGGAAGATGCTCCTTACGCTGACTGCGGAAGACCTCACTTTTGCCAAGGTCTCCACCGCACTCCTCTCTGCCGAGAAAGACTCCACGGCTCAAGCCAAGGCCTACGCCATCCGTGCTCCCATGCCTCAAGCAAGTGTCGCAGCGGCCCCTGCCTCGGCGCCCTTCCAGCGCAACCGCTTCCCACCGTGCACCTACGTCGTCAAGTATGGCAACCGCAAGGGACAAGTGTGTGGTGGCACTAACCACCCCCTTGCTACGTGCTTCAAGAAGAAGGACGACGAATGGTACGCCATCCACGGCATAGACAAGAGGCCACCGAACTGGATGCGTGCGCGTAAAACCAACCTGGTTGAGGTCCAGGACCCCGCTTCGGCTAGTGCTAGTGATATTGCTCCTGCTGATGTGCCTATCAACCTGTTGTTCCCTGGCACTGCCATGATTAATGAAGCTTCCTCCCAGTACCTCGGCTCATCACAAGCACCACAATACATAGAGTTCACACACGACAGCGGCGCCACTCACACTGTGCTCAAGGAGACACTCTCCTTCAAACCCTACGCAACACCCATCCCCCTTCTAGGAGCTGACTCAAGCTTCACCACTCTTGCCAAGGGTTCATCCACAGTCCCGTGCCCCGCCTTCCCTTCCGGCACTGTCACTGGTATGTGCGTGCCTTCACTCCGCCACAATCTCGTGGCCCAAACGAAAATTCAAAAAGCTGGGCTACGCACCATCTTCTGGGAGAACGAGAACTATGGTGATATCCTCGACCCACTCACCAACAAGGTCTTGACTCGTTTCACCCTCAACAGCAGCGGCCTTTACACACTGCAAGTACCCATCCTACAGGTGTCAACCACCCAAGCAGAGGCAACTACCTCACCATGCTCGTGCCGCAGTTTCTCCAACCCGACCATACTCTACCACCATCGGCTCGGGCACCCAAACTTCCGCACACTTGCTGACATGGCCTCCAAGAAACTTCTACTCGGCCTGCCAGCCTCACTTCCTCCACCACCAGATTCCCCCGCACCCATGTGCCTTGACTGCACCAAGAGCAAACTGCGTCAACAGCCCCACCCAGCCTCACCCTCTGTCGCAGCAGCACCATCGGACTTGGTACACCTGGACGTCTGGGGCCCTGCCCTTGTTCCCGTATGAGGTGGTTATCGCTACTTCCTTGTTATCGTCGATGACCACTCTCGCTACGTCTCTGTTCACCTCCTCCACACTAAGGCTGCGGTTCCAGAGGTCCTCATGGCGTGGGTTCAACAGGCACAGATCACCTTTGACCGCAAAGTCAAGCGCCTTCACTCGGATGGTGGTAATGAGTTTTGCAACAACAGGCTCAAAGCCTTCTGCTCCTCAGAAGGCATCCAGCAAAACTTCACCCTCCTTGACAGCCCGCAGCAGAACGGCATAGCTGAGAGCCGCAACCATACCCTGGTGCAGATCACTCGGTGCCTCCTCGGCCACTCCAACGCTCCGCACTCTCTCTGGGGGTACGCTCTCTACCACGCCGCCCTCCTCTACAACCTTTACCCCCACCCGCATCTTCCTGACACCACTCCAACCACACTCTGGCTCGGGAACACGCCCACTGCTCGCTCTCTTCGCGTTTGGGGGTGCACCGCCTATGTCCTCCTCAACCCTCAGGCTCGACGGCAGCACGGCGGCAAGCTCGGTCCCAAGACCCAGACGTGCATCTACCTCGGGCACAACGCCGACTCGCCTGACTACCTCTTCCTCAACCCCTCCACTCAACAGTTGGTCCGGAGCCGCGACGTTGTCTTTGATGAGACCCGTCCATTCTACTCAGCTTCGGAACGGGACTCTCTCTCTGATCCACCCTCCCTCAAGTGGGCAGAATTTGATGCGCCTCCTGACCTCCCGCCTGCCCCGGCCCCTTCACCTCCTACCCCTCCTGCCACCGCACCGTCCCCCTCTGAGGTCTCTGACCCGCCCTCACCGGTGTCTTCGGCAGCTGCTCCTCCCTCCCCCTCACCTGCAGCCCTGCCATCTGCGCCGCCACCTCCGAGCGCACCAATCACATACCATCGGCGGTCGCACCCTCCGGCCCCACCTCCTCCCCCAGTCCCCCCTTCCTCCCAGGCACCCACTCCTCCACAGCCGCCCGAACTGATCACGTACAAGCGGCGGCCAATTCCCCCGCCCAAGCCTCCTAAGTCAATCCCTCAGACACCGCCTACTCCGCCCTCCTCTCCGGTAGCCCATGGCACTCGCTCGCACGGCCCTGCTCCTCCTCTGGCCCTGGCTATTCGTTGCTCCACGATCACTTCGACTCCTCCTGCCGGGGGGGATGTGCCCTCTACCCTTCAGGAAGATAGGCATGAGGAGCTTTATGATCTTCACGCAGTCATTCCCCAGCTCTCGCACATCTTCCCTGACATCACTGAATCACCCTCACTCAACTTTACGGAAAACCCGACCATCCCTATCCCTCTCACCGTCCAAGAGGCTCTCTCAGGCCCTCATGCTGCCGAATGGCGTGCTGCCATGGAAGCGGAGATTGAAGCATTCACCCGCAACCACTCCTTCGACGACAAGACTCCACCTCCAGGAGTCAACATCGTCGGGGGCAAGTGGTTGTTCTGTGTAAAACAGCTCCCAGACGAGGCCCCGGTGTTCAAAGCGCGTTACGTAGCCAAGGGCTTCACCCAGCAGCAGTACCGTGACTTCTTCCTAACCTTCTCCCCCACATCCAAACCTCCCACCATTCATACGCACATGGATGTCGCAGCTCGAGAAGACTTTGAGATCAAATCCATGGATGCCTCATCCGCCTTCCTACAAGGACGTCTCAAGGAGACAGTGTTCATGGACAGACCTGAAGGCTTCCCAGGAGAATTCCCTCCCAACACTGTCTGGAAGCTGAATCGCCCCGTCTACGGCCTTAAGCAAGCCCCTCGCGAATGGCACAACAAGGTGAAAGAAGTCCTCCTCTCTCTGGACTTCCACCCTTCATCTGCTGACCCGACTCTCTTCATCCGCCGTCATTTTGAGCCATTCTACATCCTGGTCTACGTGGATGACTTCATCCTCGTTGCCAAGGACTCGGCCCAGATGACCTCTGTCCAGGCAGCTCTGAGCAAGGCCCTCCAGATGAAAGACCTCGGTGACCTCAAGCACTACCTCGGGATGGAGATCACTCGTGATCGCCAGGCTCGCACCATTTCACTCTCCCAGGAGTTCTACATCGACAATGTGCTCAAGCGGTTTGAGATGGAGCTGTGCACACCTGTTGCCACCCCGCTGCTGCTGCAACACCTCCTCACAGCTCCAGCTGTACCCACACCAGAGGCCTGCTCTGAGCCATACCCGGAGCTTGTTGGGTCCCTCATGTACGCCATGATGTGCACCCGGCCGGACTTGGCCTATCCTGTCAGTGTCCTCTCTCGCTACGTGGCCCCTGGACGCTTCACTGATCTTCAGTGGAAGGCGGCGAAGCGGGTGCTGCGCTATCTTCAGGGCACCAAGTCTCACGTTCTTACACTCGGTGGGCTCTCCCCTCCTCGCCTGGAAGGTTACACCGACTCCTCCTGGGCTGATGACCAGACCGACCGACGCTCCTCTCAGGGGTACTGCTTCACCCTTGGGAGCGGAATTGTCAGTTGGCGCCCCACCAGGTCGTCTGCAGTCTCCCTCTCCTCATGTGAGGCAGAGCTCTACGCAGGCACCATGGCTGCTCAGGAGGCCCGTTGGCTCACCTTCCTACTCCAGGAGCTTGGTTTCCCACAGTCCGCCCCCACCCTTGGGTGTGACAACCAGAGTACCATCCACATCTCTCAAGACCCTGTGTATCACACCCGCACCAAGCATATTGAACTCCGGCACTTCTTCATCCGTGACCTTGTCCAGCAGGAGCAGTTGAAAGTGGAGTACGTTGCATCTGACTGCAACCTGGCTGATCTGTTCACCAAGCCCCTTGGGAAAGTTCTCCACCACCGTCTCCTTGGCACCATGGGGCTCTGTGCTCCACCCTCTCTGCCCTGAGTTCGATTGACGACTATGAGGGGGTGTTAGTGTTAGCCTTCAATCTCACACTTTGTGCTTTGTATTTTCTATATCCTAGAGTAGTGTAGTTTGCACATTGTGTTTGGTTGGGTGTACACCTACATCCCAACCAAACCCAATTGTAATCTCCAAGCAATCTCCAACCCACCAATTGGAGATTGCCTTGGGATTACCCCCAATCCCTAGAGATTGCCTCTGATTCCCTTCCCCAACTATTCCTTACCCTTCTTGGATGTACTTAAAGAGCTTCAAGCTCATTACTAATGCATCGCTTCTAAGCCTAAGTTCTCACAGGATCCTCAGCCAATCTCAGCACAGCACGGCAGCCCGCCCACCGACAACCCACCGTGCGAGGCACAGGAGCTGGCGCTGCCCCACGGAGAAGTTCTCTCCGAACTCGCTCATGCTCGCCTCCAGCCCTCTCTGCAGCACGCCCACCTTCCCCTTCAGCTGCACTGCACCCAGCGCCTCCCATAGCGCCGCGTCCGCGTGCTGACAGGGAGGGGTTTGTTAGGGGTTACGGTTCGGTGATAGTCAATTGGCTGTGTGTGACAAAAGAAGACAAGAAGCTGCGATAGCCCCGTCTACAGAGAGCCGTGTAAGAAGGCAATGTCCTTTCAGCTGCGCACTGCAATGCCAAGGGCTCAAAACAACCCCTTCTGGATGCCAAGAGGTAACCGTTGAGTCAGCTCAAATGCCTTCTCTGCAGGGCCCTAGGCTTGCATTGCAGCCACTGCACCCCTTCCCTCCAGTACCACCTATCTATAGTGCCATATGTGAGTGCTGACTAGAGAGGGCGTAATACGAAGGGGTTAGATGTGACATAGCGAAGTGGAGACAAAGAGAAGAGCAGAAGAGGAGCTTAGCGAATGGCTGAGAAGTTGAGATAAAAAACGGGCTGGGATGCGAGAAGACTCGGACGCACTTGAATGGGTCGAGGTTGAACCGGAGAGAGCTGCCAAAGAGAACAGGGTCCTGCGGTATTGTCGTGACCTGTTCATTGTGCACGGATAGATGGAGGGAAAGTGGAAGGAAAAGGGAAGGGAGGGATGGAGAGAAGGAAGGAAATAAGTAATAAAATAAGAAAGGAAGTAAGGAAGGAAGGAAGCAAGGAACAAAGGAAGTAAAGTAACAAAATAAGCTAGTAAGGAACGAATGAAGGACGGAAGGGAGGAAGAAAGGAAACGGGGGCAGGGGAGGGTGGCAGATGAAGTGAAGTGAACGGTGCAGAGATTGCTGAGCACTTGCAAAAAACGAAATATGACAAATGAGAAAAGGGTTGTACAAAGGACCCTGGGAGATCCAAGAGGATGCCAGCGGGAATAGGATGTTGCTTGAGCCAACCTCGAAACCACTTTCTCAGAGGCTCAAACTGCTCACAGTCATAACAGAGGCACGCCCCTGATTGAAAATGTCCTCGCGCACAGCACATTCCGTCACACACGCATGCGAACGATGGTGGAGTCGATAGAAAGCAACCATGGGGTGGTGTGGTGTGGTGTGGTGTGGTGTGGTGTGGGTAAACAGGACTCAAGCAGCAGCAAAGAAAGTGCAACCACCATACGCACGTTTCTGCGCAGGCGAGTGAGAGGCATGGTGGCCGTGTCAATGTTGTCTATTAGGATGCGGCCGCCACAAGGCTGCACAAGACGGAGGAGGGCCAGCATGAGTGTCGACTTGCCTGCGCCTGATGGTGGGCATGGAGTGGAGAGATAGGCTGAGGGGGGTGCGGAGCGATGGGGAAGAGTAAGAAGTGGGTAGGAGGGAGCGGCCTGGGTACCAGTCTAATAGAGTGAGTGTCATGCATCGAACAGGAAATCCATTTGATTGAAATGCCAAGTCAAAAACCACCAACCAGTCCAACCATTCCCCTGCAGTGCCACGTCAGTGCCACGTCAGTGCCACGTCAATTACCACTACCACCACCACCACGTCCATGCCATTCGCTGGTAAGTGGCATGGCATTCGCAGCACATACCATCAGTGGCTAGCTGGCTGGCACGGACAGCAGCACTCACCGGTTCGCCCCACAACGCCGCACTTCTCCCCTCCATGCAGCTGGAAGCTCACATCGTGCAACACAGGGTCCAGCGCGGCTCTATACCGCACCGTCAACCCCTCCACTCTCACTGCGCCTTCACTCGGCCACTCAGCCGCCACCTGCCCCTCGTCCCGCTCCTCCCCTCTCCCCTGCTCACCCTTCTCCTCCCTCTGCTCCTTGTCCATCATGCTAAGTCCCCCTTTTGATTTACTCTTGCTGCCCCCTTTCCTGCCCATTTTGCCTCCTCCTCTTCTCCCTCCCTCCCCCTCCCACTGCCTCCCCTCGGGCCCCTCCTCCTGCGGTAAGTGTGTGTATTCCAGTGCCCGCTCGACGCCTGTGAACTGAGGAGCGAGAGAAAGGAAGGGAAGGAAAGGGAAGGTGGATTTTGTGTTTAAATACGTCTCAAAAGGAATGCACTGCATGTGTGCGAGTTGGAAAGCCCGACACCTGTGAATTGGAAAACGGGAAGGATGGAGTGGGAATGGATGGAGTGGGAATGGATGGCGAGAGAGAGAGAGCAGAGACGTCCTTGGAGTACGTCAAGCACAGGAGGGTCACAGCAAGAACATAAGGGAGCACTCTGTCTCACACATCTCACCATGTTCTCCACTTCCGCTCGTTGTCTGATCTGAGGCGGAACATGAGCCAGGGAGGAGCGGTCACTCACTGAGAAGGAAAAGCGAAAGGAGCAGTGGGTGTCTCACCATGATTTCCACCTCCGCCCCTTGCCTCACTCTCACCATGATTTCCACCTCCGCCCCCTGCCTCACTCTCACCATGATTTCCACCTCCGCCCCTTGCCTGACGGCCCACTGCAGCGACCCGGACAGCTGCAGCGCGTAGCTCAGCGCCAGCGCCACCAGGCCGGGCGGCAAGCTTGTCCTGAGCGCCACGGCGAGGGCCGCGACGAGCAGCATGACGAGAGAGACCAGGGCGTCCAGGCGCACAGCCAGCCAGTGCGAGGCGGCGAGCCAGCAGTACAAGGCGCGGCCGTTGGCGCTGAGCAGACGGTGGAAGGCGGCGCTCCACTGCTGCTGCACGCCGAACGCCCTGATCGTTGCCAGGCCCTGGGATGGTCGGAGGGAGGGGGAAGGGGGCAGAGAGTAAGCGGACTGTTGCCTGCAGGTTTCGGACTGTTGCCTGCAAAACGAGCTGACTTTTAGGTCGACTCGACAGTGCTCTGTTTGCTGCAGCAGACCCACCTGGATGGTGGCGACATTAGTGCGCATACCCACTTGGATGGTGGCAGCATAGTGCGCATACCCACTTGGATGGTGGCGGCATAGTGTGCATACCCACTTGGATGGTGGCGGCATAGTGTGCATACCCACTTGGATGGTGGCGGCAAAGTGCGCATACACAGGGCTGCGCGTGACCGCCTCCAGGCGCTTGGCCTCGCGGGAGGTGCAGACGAAGATGTGGTGCAGATGCAGGAGGAGCAGCAAGAGCAGCGCCATGGGGAGCAGCATCCACGGCATGCCCAGCGCCACCATCACCATGGCGCCCACTGCCAGGCTCAGTGTCTGTGCGAGGGGAAGAAGGAGGGGGGGGGGAGGAGGTGGGAAAGGAAGAGGTTGGTGCTGGCAGGTGAGAGGGACTAGAGAGGATCCACGGCATGCCCAGCGCCACCATCACCATGGCGCTCACTGCCAGACTCAGCGTCTGTGCGTGCGCAGAGGTGGAAAAGGGAGAGAAGGGACTTGTTTGAGTTTATAAGCCGAGATGTGGGTGAGCACATGGCCGATGGCGTTACTTTCAAGTCGACTCAAAAGGCAACCCCACCACCCACACAGCACTCCACTCCACCCCCACAGTCCCCGTCACAACCCACATCATACGCACCTGCAGATAGTTGAAGAGAGTGAAGGGCAGGACGTCGCCCAGAATCGTCGAGAGTGCCCTGATTAGCAGAGTCGCCGCACCCTCACGCCACCCACACAGCTATCCGCACATCGTGACACAGACACACACCTGCAGGTAGTTGAAGAGCGTGAAGGGCAGCAAATCATCCAGAATCCCCTGGTCGGCAGAGAAGCGATTCAGCACGCGGCCCACGGGGTTGGCGTGGAAGAAGGCGAGCGGCGAGGCGAGCACGGCGGCCAGCATGGCGGAGTGGATGCGCGAGGCGGCGCACACACACCAGTGGAAGGAGAGGGCCGAACGGATGAAGGAGACGACGACGCCGGTGAGCACGAGTGTGGTGTAGGTAAGGCGGTATGGGCCGGACTGGTCCCTCTTTTGCGACCAGAAGGCGAGGAACCTGCGAGGCATGGGGCATGAGGCATGGGGCATGAGGCATGGGACATGCATGGGGCACGGGATGGGACATGCAGCATGAAGCATGGTAGGACATGGGACTCGCGCGCAGTGTAGATGGTGCTGGAGTGGTCCTTCTTTTGGACCAGAAGGCGAGGAACCTGCAAGGGCCAGGGGAGAGGAAGCGCGATGCGTGGGACAGGTGAAGGAGGAAGAAGGTGGATTGAAAAATGAACGGGTAGACCGCCAGGGGAACTCGAGGAGGAGAGAGGAGAAGAGCACGGAAGCGAATGCGAAGTGGAGGAGCGAGAGGCGAGTGGAGACAGTAAGCATGGAGCATTTGAGAGCAGAAAGAGGGAGGAAGCGAAGAGAGAGAGCGCAATCTGCCCTCTCATTGTATCCCAATGCTTATATCAGTAGAGGACCATTCGAGAGAGCACAGAGAGCACAGAGAGGAGGCTGACCAGTCGGAAGCACAGGCGAGGGTTTGACCAAAGGCGAGGAGGAGGAAGAGCAGCAGCGACTGGCACATGCCCACCCTTTTGAGGTACCCAAAGTACACGTCCAGACTCACCATCCCCTCCTCCCTCTGCTCCTTCTGCACCATCCCTGGTCGAGAGGGCGGGGTGAGGGCGAAGAAGCATTGGGAAAGAGAGGGAGAGAAACGAGGAGAAGAGGAAGGAGAGGAGGTTAAAGCGGAATGTGATGAGGGTTATCATGGTAATTAACGGATATAGTTTGTTAGGCACTTGAATGTTCATGAACGTACGAGAAAAACTGGCATGATTGCTTGCGTAAAAACTGTTATCTCCTCCTAAATTTCACACTCACACTCTCCCCTCCCACTCACTCTGTCACCTCAAAGACACTCCCCTCGCCCATAGTCCCCTCACACACTCTCCCCACCACACTCCCTCCTCAACAACCTGAGCAGCCCGCCTTGTCCGGCTCCATCCTCCTCTGCCTCCTCACCACCCCTTTCCCCCTTCCCATCCCCTCCTGCCCCCACCTCTCCACCCACCTCCTCCCCATCTCCTCCAAGCTCCGCACCCCCTGCCTCCACCGGTTGCCTTTGCACGAAGCTTCCCATGATGCTGCGATTGCGAGGCATCTTCCCGCCTCCCCTGCTGTGGCCTTGCGACCCGTCCTGCAGGGAAAAACTGCGTAGCCGCCGCAGCAGCAACGCCCGGAAGGCCGGGTCGTCGAGAGTGGAGGGAGCTGTGGTGGATGTATGCTGGGCATTGGCACTTGCTGCTGCTTCTGATGCTGCTGCTGCTTCTGATGCTGCTGCTTCTTCTGATGCTGCTGCTGCTTCTGGTGCGGCTGCTTCTTCTGATTCTCTTGCTGCCACTGATGCTGCTGCTGCTTCTGATGCTGCTGCTGCTTCTGATGCTGCTGCTGCTTCTGATGCTGCTGCTACTTCTGATGCTGCTGCTTCTTCTGATGCTGCTGCTGCTTCTGATGCGGCTTCTTCTTCTGATTCTCTTGCTGCTACTGATGCTGCTGGTGCTTCTGATGCTGCTTCTTCTGATACTGGTGCTGCAGCTAAGGGAATAGCTGGTGATACGGTGGGAATGATATCACTACTAGTTCCTGACGCCCTCCACTCCTTTTCAGACATGTCCTTGCTCCCACTCGACCCCTTCGAATCAGCATCATCATCATCATCAGCATCAGCATCAGCATCATCAACCATCATCAGAGCTGTCATCGCTGTCCTCTCCCACTGTAAACCAACCCCGATGCTGCAACTTCTCCCCTATTTCCCCCGTTCGTTCCTTATCCCCTCCTCCTCCTCCTCCTCCTCCTCCTCCTCCTCCTCCTCCTCCTCCTCCTCCTCCTCCTCCTCCTCCTCCTCCTCCCCCTCCTCCTGCTCCTCGCCGTTCCATGTCCTCTCCAGTTCCGCTCCACCAACAGTCCTCTCCTCCTCTCCCTCTACCTCCCCCTCCGCCTCACACTCCTCGGTCTCATCACCCCCCAGAAGCCCCTGGAAGTCCATCTGTGCTGCCAATGCAGCGTAGGGACCCAAGGCCACCGGCTTTCCACCATCTAACACTAACACTCGGTCACAGCTGGGGGAGGAGGGCGGCGGAAAGGGTTGGGTGGAGAGCACAGGGGGTTGGAAGATTTGGGAGGAGAGCGGAAGTGGGAGGGGGTTGGGGATTGGGAGGAGAGCAGAAGTGGGAAGGGGTGGGGGGATTAGGAGGAAAGCAGAATTGGGAAGGGGTGGGGGAATTGGGAAGAGAGCAGAAGTGGGAAGGGGTGGGGGGATTGGGAGGAGAGCAGAAGTGAGAGGGGGTTGGGGGGGGGGGGGGCAGACGGAGAAGGCGGTTGGGGGGTTGAAGGGGAGAGCAGAAAGGGAAAGGGGTTTGTTGATTGCAGCCAACACACGGCCACAAGTATGCATGCACACATGTAACTACAACAGACACACCTTGCCAGATAGATACTCCACCCATCCCCACCCTCCAGCTCACCTCGGCAGGTACTGCAGCTGGTGTGTGCAGCGCAGGTGAGGTGCTCACCTAGACAAGAATGCACCGCTCAAACAGGTGCCTCCCCACAGCCGGGTCCATAGCCGAAATGTGTGTTTTGAGTCGACTCAAATCCCCGCCCCTCACCTCGGCAGGTACTGCAGTTGGTGAGTCACAACAATCCTTGGCCGCCCGCGCATCACCCCCTGAATGCACCGCTCAAAGAGGTGCCTCCCAACAGCTGGGTCCACAGCGGAGAGCGTGTCGTCCAGCAGCACCAGCGCGGCATCCGTGGCGTATGCGGCCCGTGCCAGCCCCACTCGGGCCCGCTGCCCGCCGCTCAGGTTCACCCCGCGCTCGCCGATCTCTGTGCGGTCGCGGTGGGGCCAGCTGGCGATGTCCTGGCGCAGGGCACAGGCGTCTAGGACCTGTGGGTTGGGGGACGGTGGATGTGGGGGGGGGGGGGCGGAGGGGGGGTGGGGGAGAAGAAGGGGGTAGGGGAAGAGGGAGGGTGGAATGACTTTTGGGTCGACTCAAAAGCCAGCTGGCGATGTCATGGCGCAGGGCACAGGCGCCGAGGACCTGTGTGTGGGGTGGGAGGGAGGAGAGGAGAGAAGGGCATGCACAGAGAAGAGGGTATGATACGAAGGGATGCTTGGGAAAATGAGGGGGCAAGGCAACTAGTGTTGGTCATTCAAGACGAAGGCATTTACGGAGAATGAGGATACTAAGGGATGTTTGGGAAAATGAGGGAACAGGAAGCAACTGGTGTTGGTCACCGTTGGTCACCGTTAATCACCTGATTGTAGAGCTGTGCTTGGAATAGACGGCCGAAGATGATGTTGTCCTTCAGTGATCCCACCATGATGAACGGCTGCGCGCCACAGCACAGCACAGCACAGCACAGCACAGCACAGCACAGCACAGCACAGCACAGCACCACACCATACCACACAAACAGAAGGAACGGAAGATAAAAAGCGTGTTCTCACATTGACACGCTGACAGAAGTCACCAACCAAACCATGTCTGGAGTGGAGACGTCCTGAATCTCGACACAGAGATGCCAACAGTCGCACAGATTGCAGCAGAGTGCTGAGAGGCAAGGGTCGATGCACATGCACACACACACACACACATACACACACACACACAGACATACACACACACACACACACACACACCGCTACATGCTTGCGATGGTCATGCGTGCATGTGTGTGTACGCGCACACTGCATAATTGAAATGACAGCCACCACAAATCCCAAGTAGACCTTCCTCGTTCCATGCAGCACAAGTTCGCAGCTCTGCGCTCCAATCATGCCCCCCACACGTTGGCGGTTGCCCCACCTTTCGTGCAGCATACAATATCATTTTGTGCAGCATACAATATCATTTCGTGCAGCATACAATATCATTTCGTGCAGCATACAATATCATTTCGTGCAGCATACAATATCATTTCGTGCAGCATACAATATCATTTCGTGCAGCATACAATATCATTTCGTGCAGCATACAATATCATTTCGTGCAGCATACAATATCAAGACATCTCGAAACTCCATCATTTCAAAACGAATCCACGCACAAGCACGATGTGCACAGCACAGAGCACGGCCCACAGGGCACGGCGCACAGGGCACGGCCCAAGCGCTCCTAAGCACGCCCATGGGCCACGCCCGCAGTCCCACCTTCTGTGCCGCATACGCGATCTTCTACGCTCGGCACACCAGCTCTCCCCCCACCAGCTCTGCGTCGCCTAGAATGCCGGCCAACAACGTGGACTTGCCCGAGCCCACCTGCTCCGGACAAGGGGCAAGGAGGGAAGAAACAAGGGCAGCAAGGGAGCACAATTGTTTTAGCAAAGGAAACAAAGCATCCAAGGAGGTAAAGAAAAACCCTTCCAAGCACTGCATTTTCTGAGACACGCTCGAGACGTATGGCAACAACGTTTGAAAAAGTTTGCGGATGTAATAAGGAGGAAAGGAGAGAAAAGCGAGGAACAAAACGAGGTTGGAGACATCTCAAAACCCGAGATATTAAATATTGAGGAACGGAACGGAGGTCCAAATAGAGGAAAGAGGAAATTCAGGAGGACCAAAGGATTTCATGAGGAGAAATACAGGGATAACTGGAAGGCAGATAGCATACAACTCAAAAAGCATAAGACTTTTCTTCTCTTTGCTGGACCCACCCACCCTCTCTTCCCCCACTCTTCACCTCCCCATCTTCCTGCCTCCCTCTTCCCCTCACTCGAAAGGACTTGCTTCCAACGTGCAGAGCTCACCTGCCCTGTGACGCCCAGCAGCTCGCCCTCCCCCAAACTGAAGGATACACCCTCCACCGGCACCTCCTTCTCTTCCTCCCACTCCTGCTCCTCCTCCCGCTCCCCGTCCCATCTCCTTGCCTCCCCTCCGATCCCCTCCCCTCGCTTTCTTCCTCCGCATCCAAACGAGGCGTGCACCATTGCACACACACTGACCCGCCCTCCCTGCACTGCCTCCGTACGCTCACCAGCAGTACCAGCAGCAGGAGGAGGGACAGAAGCAGCATCGGGAGGAACGGAAGCAGTAGGAGGAACAGGAACAGAAGCAGGAGGAAGAGGAGCAGGAAGAAGAGGAGCAGGAGGAAGAGGAGCAAGAGGAAGAGGAGCAGGAGGAAGAGGAGCAGATGCTATGGAGAGATGTGGTGCCACTGCAGCCCTCCCCTCCTCCTGTGCCTCCATCACCTTCCCTATCGCTTCCTCATCTCCCTTTCCACATCTGGTGCTGGTGTCCTCGTCACTATGTGATGATACCAAAGCTGCTCCCTCCTTCATGCTGCTTGATAGCTGATATGGGCAATGCAAGGTGGAGGGTGAACAAGTGGAAAGATGAGATTCTTGATACGCATAAGAGTTTATTAAATCGACATTGCAGAAGGGAAGGAGAAGGTGGATGTGTATGAGCAGAAAAACCCCAGTTTTGTGGCGTCCCAAAACCCTTCTGTTGCTGCTGTGTGATAGCTGAAATGGATCATGCCAAGGGAAAGGAGACGGGGCGGAAGGGGAAGCCATGCAGATCTTTGAAACGTTGCAGAGCCTAAGCAGTAGAGGTGGAAGGAAATGGCAGGAGGGACTAGACAGGCAGCGAGGGGGAGCATGCAAGGAAGCTGACTCTCGCAGTTTGATGGTCGAGATAGGGGGGGCGTGAGTGTTTTGGTGCAGGAGAAACGAACGAAGTGGAAGGAGCGTGTGCAGCAGGAGCACTTCTCCACTCCATGTAGGGATGAGCAAGGGGCGAACACGAACATGTTCGTGTTCGCCCCTACACGAACACATCCGTTTGCCGAACCGAACACTGTTCGGTTCGGCGAACACTTTAAGCAAAAACAGGTGTTCGCCGTTCGCCTGTGATGTGAAGGCGTGTTCGGCCGAACCTCGAACACGTTCATGTTCGTCGCGGGGCAAATTGCAGCAGCGGCCTGAACACGAACGTGTTCGGGCGAACCTCGAACACTGTTTGGCGAACAATTTAAGCAAAAAAAAACAAACCCGAACCGAACAGGTGTTCGCCCTTGTGCTCATGTCTAACTCCACGTATGTGAGAAACCGGACTTAGCGGATGACACGACTCCAGTTTCACTCAACTCAGTTGGAGCAAAAGAATACTCGAGCCAAACCCAGTAGTTTCTTACCCGGCCTTTTGGGCGAGTAATAAGAAAGGGCCGATACAAAACAATTCGACTCGAGTTTTACTTAACTCACCTCGATACTTGATCGAGGCAAGCCACAACGAGTTGAGTACAGCTTGACTCGTCACATGCTCATGTCTATGCTCGGCACATGGCAAACATGCTCGCAGCAGGAAGGATGGTAGTGATGGCAGCAGAATTCAAGCCGCACAAACCAAAACACAAACATACACACGTCATATACCTCTCCCATGTTCTCAAATGACCACGTCCCATGGCCCTTGCCCTTACGCCATTCGCCTTGCCCACATGTCCTTTCCCTTACACTTAAGCCCTTGCACTTAAGCCCTTGCACTTAAGCCCTTGCACTTATGCCCTTGCAAGAGGTTGGGAGGGAGAAAAGCAGAGGTAAGTCACCTTCATGTATGTGAGGAAGCTGACTCGCGAGTCTCATGGTTGAGACGGGCAGAGAGTGAGTGTAAAGGAATGAAGTGAAAGGAGTGTACTCAGCAGGAGCGAATCTCCACGTACGTGGGAAACAGGACTTGCGGGTTTATTGGGCAGGCAGGGTGGCACGTGTCGGAGTCCCTTCCCTTACTGCCTTTCACCCTCGCCCTGTTCCTGCATTACTCTGCTCGCTCCCCTTGTTCCTGCCTCATTGCGCTCAGTCCCCTTTTCCTCCTTCTCTTCTTGCACAGTCATCCCTTCCTCAGCCACTCCACTGAGAGATTCGGCTCCCACAGCTGGCTACCAAGAGTGGCGTCTGTCACCTGGCTGCTGTAGCTTAGAACGGTAACATAAGTCCACTATGCACTGGTAAACAAACGAGAGAACAAGAGTACTATGCTAGGCTAGGCTTACTTATGCTAGGCCACCCAGTCGCGAGATTCTCAGCGTGATGGGTTGGGCTCGAGCCGCCTTGGCCTTGTATTGGCCTCGTGCCAGATTTCCTGTCTCTCGAGGGCCCTGGAATTGTGCCCGCAGCGCCTTGCAATCCCCCATACTACCAACTTCTGCGCTTCTCCCAATGTCCCAACTACCTGGTGTACAAACTGAATGACAATTACTACACTGCTCCTACACCCCAGTTAGCACAGTTACAGAATATAATGCTCTCACCATGATATTCAGTGACAGCTGTCAGAGTCCCTTCCCTTACTGCCTTTCACCCTCGCCCTGTTCCTGCATTACTCTGCTCGCTCCCCTTGTTCCTGCCTCATTGCGCTCAGTCCCCTTTTCCTCCTTCTCTTCTTGCACAGTCATCCCTTCCTCAGCCACTCCATGCCCCCTCCTGTGCTCGTGCTCGGGCTGCCCGTGCACGTGTCACAGGACCCTCTTGCTGAGGCCGTCTCTCCTTCACTGGCGCTGTGTTCGTCTGGTGATCCACTGTCCGCTCTCCTCTCTCATTTTCCAGCACCAGCACCCCTGACCCTCTCACCTCTTTAACCTTCCACCTCTCTGTTCCCAACCCCACGTCCAGCGTGTCTTTCTTCGCTCTGCGCAGGTAGACTTCCTGTCCCTCTGTCACTGCTGGCTTCGCTTTCCTGCCTCCTTGCTGCTGTCGCTGCTCGTATCTGTGGGCATCTCTCAGCTGCGCCGTGTGCAAGTTCTCCAAGGCAGCCGGGAGCATTTCCCGCATGTATCTTGCTCGTGCTTCTGCCAGCGCCACCCATTGTTCCGCTCCCTTCACGCTCACCACCCCCGTCAGTACCCTTGGTGCTCCCACAGGCAGTATTGGTTCCTTTCCATACAGCAGGCTGTACGGGGAGTAGTCCTTTAGTGACGCCTGCTTCCCGAACCTGTACCCTGCCGCCACCCAGTCTAGTTCTTCATCCCAGTCCCTCTTCCGCTTCTCTCCGTACGCCCTCAGGTTCCGCTTCAAGGTCTGCACCAGCCGCTCGGTCAGCCCATCACTCTGAGGATGGTACCTTGATGTCTGCCTGTGTGTCACCCTTGCCTCGTCCAGCAGCGCCTGGAACTCCCCCTTGAATTCCGTGCCCTGATCGGTGAGTACCTCCCCTGGTGCCCCGAATCTGCACAGCACCTGTCCCTTGAATGCCTTCGCCACATGTCTGGAATCCTTGCTCGGCAACGCACACACTTCTAACCACTTGCTTGCATGCTCCACCATGAGTAGGATGTACCGCTGTCCTCCCCTGCTCAGCGGCAGCTCGCCGGCTATGTCCAGAGACCACCGAAACCCAACCCTCTGATCGGCAGTGATTGGAGCTCCTGCTTCGCCTGGGTCAAGCTGGCCTTGCTTCTCTGGCAGCCTTCACAACCACTGACCCACTCTCTGACTTGCTTCCTCATCCCTTCCCACCACCAGCCGGTCTTGAGCAGCTGAGTTGT